CATTTTGTGAAAATGAGATGATATTTGATATTTTTTTATTTTTAATTTGAGATGATATTTTTTCATGTTGTTTAGTGTAAAAAATTTAAAACCATAAATTAATTAACTACTACTTTAATAATTCAAATATATAGGTGGTGATGGAATGAGAATGGGCCAATGGGCTATAATTCATTTCTATAATACGGAACCCATATGAAAGAGAAGTTTTTAGTAATTTTGTCCACGTGGCATCAATTGAATGGAGTCCGTTTTATTGCAATTAACGGGGCATCCGTTCAGAATGCGCTCCCTTATTTTATATATCTGTAAGCGGCTACTAAACTAGGGATAAATCCAAGTCGGATTCTTCCTTTGATATATCCCCGAAGAGGCGAAAGTACTATATTACCATTATATGCAATTTTCAGTCAAACTGCATTCAACATTTCTGGTCTTGCATTTAATATTTCCGCTAATTTATTTATTATTATTTTATTCTTTTTATTTTTTTTATTTTTTTATAAATCTGTTTGTTTAATTTATATATTTTTCTATTATTTTTTTTATTAATTTTTTTAATGTCTTCTTTAATTTTTTTTTTTTTATTTTTTTGTAAAATCAATATGTTTACTATACTGAAAATAACTACATGTAACTGTAGTAAACTATAGTCATTCGTAGTTATGTTCTTTTCTTTTACCCCATATTTTTAGTCGACAAATTATGTACACACGAATACTGGATTATACAAAAGAAATTCATAAACCCCAACAACAAAAAAATACAACTTTCATATTTATATTATAAATCACCGCACAACCAATAAAATGTTGGGAATCGGGCACGTGTACGCAGCGGAAAACAAAAATTTTATATGAAAAACACAATTTAATTCATATAAACACATGCCCGACTTATATTAAGCAATTAATTACGTACCTTAACGCTTCCAGCGAAAATTAAAACCAGCATGCATATTAATTCGAGAATTAAAACACATAGCATGCTCGCAAAGAAACGTAATATACATACATATAATTTCATGAAAAACGATCAAATAAAACAAACAAAATCAATTTCATGAAAAACATATAAGGCGCAATTTAATCTAATTAAATAGAACCTTATATCTAACGGATTCGAAAGATTACCTCTTGAAGCATGAGGTGAACTATCGGATCGAAGCAAACTGCCACGAAAACCAATCCGTACAATCGGGAGGAGCAGCGGCGACGGACGCGCTTATCGACGGCGGTGCGTGAGATCCACGCGCTGTCTTCGGGCGGCGCGTGGAGGCGCGTGCGGTGGTGCCTCGGCAACGACTTCTCGGCAATACGACTCCTTGGTCTTCCTCTTCTCGGATTCACCTTGTATGTTGAGATATACTAAATACGTGGCACTAGACACGCAAAAGTTAGAATAGGCGGAAGAAAAAGACAAAAGGATAGAAACTACCAATGACAATCGGCGCGTGAGGCCGATTCCGGCGACGAGCAGCGGTGGTGGCGACGGCCGTGAGTGAGATTGGCCGAGGGTTGTGAGATTGAGCGGCTAGGGTTTCTATTGTGTATTGTGTTTTGTGTAAGACCTATAAATCTTGTATTTATAGTGTCTTGTATAAAAGCCCTAACGGGTTTAAGTTGGACCGGGCCCATCAACTTAAGATCGTTAGTCTTTATTCGCTCGTTTCTCACAACTCAATGATCGAAAAATTATAACGATTATATTTTCGGAATCATTGAAACGTCCTCGTCATTACGAGTGCCAATTCTCGATTTCCAATTTCTAAAAGTAGATACCCTAATTCAGTGGACCTTCTAAACTTGGAAACTTCCCAATTTAGAAAGTTCACTAAGATGTTCGCCTAGTTATTTTCCTTTTCTTATTCTCATTCATAATTCCAAATCACGAATGTTGGACTCAATTGTATTGACTTCCAATTATGCAAAGATTAAACATTTTTATCATTGGCCGTTTAGTCAAAGAACTCGAGTGCACGAGCAGTGTGACCCTCGATGGTTCAGGTGTAAGCTAGCCGTGGGTCCACAACTCTTTGTGGGTTAAACTCGTCCCTAGAGTTACAATTAAGATGAAGCTCGTTTCAACTTAATCACTCAACGAATTAAGATTGGCGTCTGGCAACTACGCGTCATGATTTCCTAGATACAAATGAAGTGTCTGCAAGAACCTTTTGATATAGTTAACATACAGTACGATCCCTTCGAGTCATATGTCCCGATTGAACTAGAGGCATTGGTTCATCGAGACCTCCTTAGTAGTTCAATAACCGTGCAATTGTTCTAAGTGTTGTAATCCGTACGTGCATGACTTAGAGAATCAAATTCCCTAATCATCACTTAGTCAGCTCTGGCCAGAGACTTAAAGATTGCAAACTATGAGAACACACAGGACATCCAAGACTATTCTAGCGATCGAATCCCCGACTATAATACACATACCTCCCACTAGATTTCAGACTGCACGAACACTAGCCGTTGGGGCGGTCCTCGGTGGAACTCAGGGACAAGTCACGATACCATAGAGATCTCTACTCGATTATTGAGAACCACTTAGAGATTTCTAGGGTGAGGGAGTTCAGTGAACTCGTCAACTTACGAGCACCCACTTATGCATGCCGATATCACAATACCGTTTACTGATGAGACGCAGTACAAATACACTAAGTGCTAGTCTCTTAATGGGAAAGGCCGATATCCTCATTGGTGGCGTAACCCTTCGACTAAGAACACGTTTAATAGTTATAATACTTAAGTAAATATCTCACGATCCTAAAATATCAATTACAAGTACGTGTAATAACTGTAAGGACTACATCTATGTTTGAACAAGGGACAAAGATATAGAATACCAAGGTGTTTCATCATTAATACGAAAAAGATCAATTACAAGAATAAATGGAAAGACCACAGCCACAAGTTGGCTTGTTCGAACCTACTCTAACATAAAATAGAAATCGAAAATACACAAATATATGCATATGTAACTACATGTAACTGTAGTAAACTATAATCATTCGTAGTTATGTTCTTTTTTTGACCCCATATTTTTAGTCGATCAACTATTTACACACACGATTATTGGCTTATACAAAAAAAAAAAAAAAAAAAAAAAATCATAAACCCCAACAACAAAAATTTACAAATTTCAATATTTATATTATAAATCACCTCACAACCAATAAAATACAAATAAAAAATACACATATATATGCATATGTCACTACATGTTACTATATGTAACTAGTAATGTATAGTAATGTACGGTAATGTATACAGTCTGTTGAACACTGTAACTTGAAGCAGGTGTAACTTCAACCAAATTTTTTGACACCTTCAAGGAGAGGATCATTGGTTTTCATTAAGATGCAATAGAAAATAAAAATAATAAGTATATTAGTGCAAATCAACAAAAATTAAAGAAACATCAAAACACTCAAAAATCAACAAACACTGAAAGATCGAGAGATAGAGAGAGAGGCCATAACTGTGAAATACTACGAATTTTAGACCAAACCGCCAATGACTCCTCACCCCAAGCTCCTCCTACCAAAACCCCTAGCCGGCGCTAACCACCCAAGGTTCCGCGCTCACAAATAAAAAAAAAAAAAGAAATAAATCTGACAATAAAAAAATGAACGAAATTACCATCAAAATATAGATTTCGCAGAAAGGAATCCAATGGTGGGTAACCCGTCAAATTCCGACTGCCGGAACACAAATTACACCTCCGGCAAAACCCATCGCCGTTGAAATACGCACCAACTGTAAAACGATTGCAGAAACAGATCGGGTGCTCCAAATTAAATGAAATCACCACCAATAGAAAGAGCTCGACGAGGGGAATCCAACGGTAATCAAACCATCGAATTCCGACCACCGGAGAGAGAGTTATGACTCCGGGAAGCAACTTCGCCGGTTGGAGATCTATGGGGGCATGATTTGAATCTGCGAGTTGAGAGAGGAAGAGAGAGACGAATGTGAATGGCTAGGGTTTAAAACTGATTTTAAAAGGGCATTTTAGATACTCCAGGGTGGGCGAGGGGGGTCTGTCAAATTAATTTCAAAATAGAGGGAGTATGCACCAGGATGTAATTAGCTCGGTGGTTAGTTATATATAATTTCCATATGAGGGGTCTCTAAAATAATCCCTTAATGACAAGATATCCATTGATTCCCACTCATTGTCTTATTCTCCGACCTAAACACATTCTCTCTCGCACACGATAATAATATCAACCAAACAGAACGGATGGAAGTTAGTGAATTTTTTTTTTCGATAAATGAAGTGGCGAAGCATGAACCAAAATAAATTGAAGAGGGAAAATAATGGAGATATATACGAGAGAAATGGAGGGAAACTGAAGGAATTAGGGTTTTTTAAATAAAAAAGACAACAATAGTCTTTGATTTCGCATGTGCAATGTCTATGAGTTCAAAACCGGCCATTTTGACCTGAAAACGGGCGAAAAATGGCAAAATGACACAATTAATTGAGTATTGGTGAACTCTTGCAAAAAAAAAAAATTGTTCAGTGGTGATCCGTAAAAACAAAAATAATTCAGGTGGTTTAATGATATTTACCCAAATTTCAATACAAAAGAAGATCATATACTTCTTCTCGGCCTTCAAGCAATGTTTAGATAGATTAAAGTTTGGTCGCAAAGTTATTAGTGTAGATAAAACTCATCTCTACACTAGGTACACCACACAAGTTTCTAGTATCGTGTTGAATTTTGTATTTTCTAACATCATATGGCGCTATATATTTTTCTAGCATCGTGTGGTACTATGCATTTTCTCGTATTGTATCGGAATTATGTATTTGTTATACATGCACTTTATATCTGTATTTATCAGCAATTTGGAGAGAGATTTTTTTCATAAAAACGAACAAGCAAGACTTTTATCCAAATCAAAATAACTAAGAAATTTAAAATGATGGAGTTTTAACTTATTAACCCATATAAGTTCAAACATAAATTAGAACAGAAGCACATAGCAGATTAACGAATCTATTTTTATTAATTGAAATTAATGCTCTGCAATGTGCTAGCATCAATTATCAATAATGTCGAGGACGACTGAGAAGTACTTTTTTTTTACAAGATTGGCAAACCCTTAACACGGGCGAGTTCGAAAGTATAAAAAACCCGAATAAATAGCAAGGGAAAGTGTATACGACCCCATTGGTAGAAACCCTAGTCTACTTGTGTTAGTCAATAACAAAATCAAGTCAAATCTCAGTCTAGCAAAAAGGGCTGGGTTCAGTCGCCCCCCCATCCGAGTGTGCTGACTGAAAAGAATGTTGAGCCACAGCAAATACTTTGCAAAAAAAGACGAGACGAGACGAGACTACTTTGTTTTCTCCGACCAGAGCTGCTTCAATTGGACATCAGCTGCTAAAATTGTGTGTGTAAAGGAAGGTTTCCTTGAACAAGTTACTCTGCCCTGTCTCACACATAAACCAACAATAAAATGATTAGTAGTTGCGGTTGCATAAAATGATTTAAGGAATCGATCACATCCAAATGAAACTAAGTTTTTAGCTTCTAAATCTCTTATTCGGCAACACCCAAAAAAAAAAAAAAAAAAAAAGGAACCGAAATATATAGCCCAAACTCGGTTGTGTACACATATTTGATTTTTGGGGACAAAGGAGATAAATTACTATCGGAGCTAAAAACAAGTTATGCTTCTAAAGTAGGCATGACACTTTCTTGAAAATGACTAAAAAATGAACCTGCATTACTCAACACTAGATTTTGTGAGTAAGCTGTTTAACTAAACATTGATTATTTTTCTACGAAGAGTGTCTTTCTTACCTATCTAAATTGATACGGCAATGTGTTTGATGTGCCATTGCAAGGATGGAGTTGTTGATTATGGCCCAAACCTCCACCAATCCTCCCATTAAACCCACTGAACTCACTTGGTAGTGATAGTCCACCATAAGAGTGATCCGTCGACGTAGAAGCTTGACTCGGAAGTGCTTCCCCTCTCAAACTGCTTACTCTTCGAGAAAAAACTTCGCTGTTGTTATACAGTGAAGGCGGTACGGTATTATAATCTTGTAATCTTCCCTGCAAATATACATTTTGTGGGCCAGTCCTCGCTCGCACGACACCGTCTTGACCAATAGGAGAACCGAAAAGACTGATCTCTGAAGCTGGGCCCGCACCAAAACTCCTGTCTGACTGCCGACTCCTATTATTAAGAAGGTATTGTATCTGTCTCTGTATCCTTCGTCTTTCTTGCAGAGTGAATGCTCCCTGTCCGGAAGTGGGCGAAGTAGCTTGAAAGTGCACATTATTATTAGTCCCTTGAGTCAATAATGGTGTTTCGGGCACATATTCCTCGTTCAGATCGAAAGTTTCACGAACAGAAGCAATGGGAGATGAACCAACAGACAAATTGTTGTTAGTTCCTACATTAATATTAATATTATTATTATCATGAATATTAGGATTCAACGGTTGTCCATTTGAGGATGCAAGAGCTGTTGGCCTACAACCGTCACAGTACCAATTTCCATCGGGTACTTCGTGTCCTAAACCAACGCAGTAAGTGTGTGCGGGTGAGTCACAAAGATCACACAGTAGCATAAGTGCATCGTCCCCGCCTTGCTGGCACTCTGAGCAAAGAACATTCTCGTACGGATCAAGATACCCCCTCAGCTCCTCTTCAGATGGCTGATAAACCTGCCAAGATTCATTCACAAGTAAAATAACTAGAGAGTATATATATATATATATATATGTATATATATATATATATATATATGTATATATATATGTATATATATATATATATATATATATGTATATATATATATATATATATATATGTATCTATATATATAAAAAGATTTTAGATTTTTCGAATACCTGATCACGTTGGGGAACTGGAAAAACTGCGTCGGTTAATTCATTCCCAGCAGTTCTACTGATAGTTGCAAACCTTTGCTTGCAAAGGGGACAACGAGATTCCACCTTGGACCATTCCATGATGCAAGTGAAACAAAAATGATGGCTGCAACAATTTAAAACTCCTCTAACGGTTCTCTTCCCCTCTTCCGATAGACAAATCCCGCAAACCTGCTTCCCTAACTCAATCTTCATGTCTACCACCTTTTGCTTGCCTTTCCTCACCAGTGGGCGTTTCGGTTTCGGAGGCTGCAACAATTCTTCCTCTTTAACAGTCTTCAAAGAAGTTGAATTCCTCGACCTTTTGCAGAATTGAGTAGCATCTCTAACCTGTTCAATCTCTTCTTCCGAGACGGTGTATTCATAATCAGAAGATCCTGAGCTTACAAAATCTGAATCAGAGTTCACAACATATTTCCTCTTTCTACCACCACAACCCCGTCGTCGCCCCCCTATCATTTTCTTTTTCCGTGAAGTAGGGTTCTCGTGTGGTAACTCCTTAGTGAGATTAGATCTTTCTTTTCTCCTCAAACCCCATTTCTTAACTGGCTTTCTTCTTGTTGTCTTCAGAACCTCCTCACCTGGAGTAAATTCCTCATCGTCCTTGTCATCAGAATCATCATTATCACCATCTTCCTTTTCTTCTACATACGAAACTTTATCTTTCTTTCTAGGAATCTCGTTATAAGAATCCTTGCTTAACTCTGTTCTTGAAACCCGAGATCTCTTTCTTGAAATCCGGGATCTCTTTCTCGCGTTTACATCAACGAATTCTTCATCTCCTTGTCTATATAGAGACTCGATATCATCATCTTTCTCTTCTTTAAGTGATGCCTTATTTCTCTTTTGTTGCGTAGCACCAGAACGATTATATTCGTCGTATTCTTCCTCTTCTTCTTCCTCCTCTTCTTCTTCTTCTTCTTCTTCTTCTTCCTCCTCCTCCTCCTCCTCCTCCTCCTCTTCTTCTTCCTCTTCTTCTTCTTCCTCTTCTTCTTCTTCACTGTAAGCCACCTTTTTCCTTTTGGGCTTTACAACCCCATTTTTCTTTCTCGTCTGAGAACGCTTTCGTCCTCTAGGCCTAGTGACCTTTTTAACCTTCTTCTCTACCCACTCCTCCTCAAAAGCCCCTAAACTCTCTTCTGTATCATCATCGGCAAGGGAAGAACAATACTCATCCTCCGACACATTAATCGCCTCATCTTCTTCCACCTTATAATCTTCATCAGACTCATCCGAACCTTTCTTCTCCAACTGGACCTTGTTCTTGATCTTCCGCTTGTGCCCAATTTCACCTCCCCTTGCCATCTGCACACGTGTCCACAAAGTTGGAGGAAATGTATCAGAATCAAACAATATAACAGTCCAGATATTTCATAATGCTACCAAAATGGACCGAATCTAGTTCATAAACATCCAGAATCAACATTTCATATTCATTTCTCTTATAAGCTTTTGCATACCTATTTTTTCAGATTGTCAAATATACACTTCCTCTTCCGATCTTTCTCAAAACAAACGAGACAAAAGAATCCCCTAAATAAATGATTTCTATATCAAGTTCTGAACAGTAACTGACCAGTAATTTAATACTGCATCAGCTGTAAACCAAGCAATCTCCCCAAAACGGCAAGATCAATATTTCCTCAATAATTTGTTTCTGGAAAAATGTCAAACCAGCAAATCAAATGATAAAGATTCTCAATTTATTTCCAACTCCATATTAGCCTAATCAAATATGCTAATTAGAAATCAAAAAAACCTAAAGCCCCAAAATTTTCATCCACGAGCTTCTATTCCCAAACCAAAAAAAAAATTAAATTTAAAACTAAAACAAATCGATCTGATTTATCCCCGAAATAATGATCCCAGAAGAAACCCTAGATCGAAATCAACTCAGGGTACTACAATTCTCACCCTTCAGTAATTCATCCGAACTCCAATAGAAATATAATCAACAATCATACAGCAGAAATTTAGAAAAAAGCAAAATAGGAGTGACAACGTAAACCCAATTTCGGAAGCCAATATCATTTCAATCGAGAAGAATAATTATCGATAATTTCGAAAAAAATTGAAATTAGGTATATATTGGATTAGAAAATGAAGATACAAATTAAACTCGGAAACAAAAAGGGGAATAAGCAGCGAAATTTCGAGTTCTAGAGAGAAGAAGGAGAGAGGAATGAAGATACCAGCGTGAGGAGAGAGAGAATGCTGCAATAAACATAAAAATAATTTCGAAAGGAATTACAGTTCTCTGTCTCTCTCTATTTATACAGTTGTACATAGAGACGTTAAATAAATGGAGGTAAAAGTTAAATTTTGGAAGCAAAGAATTTATTAGTTTTGTTGTATATATTTATTCTTATTATTACGCACACTTCAAATATTGGGACTTAAAAAGGAAATCTCTTGGATGAGGGCCATAAGGTAAGGCTTTACTCGTGTACTACGAATCTACGATGCTCGGAAATTTCTATACGGATGCGTTTCTCCGTTTCCAATGGGTTACCAAAACTGAAATGTTAAACGTCCTTTCAATTTTATTAATACCGTTTTGACTTTCAAACGTTATATTTACTTTCTAGTCTGATTTTAGCAAATTTCATTCTAAAAAAATGTAGTCCTTCGGATTAACTTTCTAATCCAACTTGAATCGGCTAGATTGGATGTCGAATGGCAAATTGTGCTTATGAATGAGTTACATTTTAAATTTTAGATAATTCAAAATATCAAATTTGTGGACAGTATTGATTGATTCATGCTTATATTTCTTATCGACATCCAATCATGATGATCCAAATTGGATTAGAAAGTCTATTATAAGAACTACACAACTTCTGTATTTAGAGTTTTGCCAAATTCAAACTCCAAAATAGTCATAATCATATTTGAAATTGAAACGGTAATATTAAAACTAAACCGACATTTGTCACATCCCCATCCAAAATTGAAATGCCATGACACCGGCTCAAAATATTTCAGGGACGTTTGTGTAAATACCTAAAAGTTTTTAACACGTTTCTAGTAATAATAAAAACTATAGAAATGTGTTTCCACAAAAAAAGAGGGGGGGGGGGGGGGGGGGGGGGGGGGGGGGGG